CACTCACACATATAAAATGTGTATTGCGCATATTGTATGTGTACAAATATATACAATGTACCATGTAGTACGTTATCAGGAAACAAAGAAGATTAACCATCAAGACTGTGTATGTATTGTATGTATATTCGTATGCACTTTATACACATATGCCCTATATATTCATATATATCTTTGCACACAGTCGCATCTTACATATGCATACACACACATAATGATATATTTGTATGTAATTATATATATATATATATATACACACATATATAAGTCTCATTCATTGTTCTTTGCATGTTTGGTCACACATATGTGTGTATTAAGTAAAGCTACTATATATAGATATATCCATTTGTTTATACTTGTATAAATATATATAATATATATATATATATACCACGTGTTTTTCACATATTCTCATGCAGCTTGTATTATACCGGGGTATTAAGTACAGTGGTATTGTCGAAAATTGCATTTATTTTTCGTTGTTTTGACTTCTAAATGCATAGATACTAAACTTGTTGGAGTTGCAGCAACGATACTGACGACATTGTGGTTAGTTTTTTGTCGCTTTTGTGGCTCTGGTTGTCATTTTTATGGCCGTGGTGATTGCCATTACGTTTGCATTGCGTTAGCTGCTGTAGAATTTTTAACCTTTCCGTAGTCATGGCGATAGAGAGTAGTAAGTAGTAGCATTTGTAATTGTAGCTGCGGTGTTTTAAACTGTGGTGTGTGTGGTCGCGTCAGCCTAAATTGTGGCGTGGCGTGGCTGTCGTAGTAGCGGTTATCTTGATAAATAGCGCTAAGTAAATTTAGTAATTTTTGTTTACATCCGAGGGTTACTTTCTGCTGTCACTAAATGCACTGCTACTACTACTATTACTACTACAACTACCATTACTACTATTGCTACTACTGTTACTCCAGTAGCTGGCGTCTTTGTAAGCAACATTGGTCCAGTTTACGCTAGGCTCCGCTATCTAAGATAAAGACTTTTGACCATGGTGCGCTGATAACATTCTTCTGTAGAATTCACACCCACCCAGACACACGCGCACACACACACACATATACACACACATACAAACACACATGCATGCATGCATACACATACATACACACATACTATTACTAAAGCACAGCATACAAAAAGCATAAAATGTGCGTGTATTGTATTGTATAATACGTACCATATTTAGTGTACATAATTTCGTATGCTAGTTAAAAGTAAAAAGAAGCAATACCAATAGAGTGAAAGTAAAGTTAGTTGTATACAGAGTGTATTGTATTGTTTGGTATTTTGTATGTGCTGTATTGTATAGTACTGTTGTATTGGCTGACTGATTGCCTTTCTTTGTCTTTTCAGCAATAGTTTCTTTGTTTCAAATTGGCGAATTTGGGTAATAAAATGTTAATTTGCTTGTTTGTTTGTTTGTTTGCGTCAATTTTTTATTCATTCATTCGTTCATCAGTTACTCGATCATTCATTCATTCACTAACCTATGTTAGTGAATTCATTCACTAACCTATGTTAGTGAATTCATTCACTAACCTATGTTAGTGAATGAATTAGCATTTGAATTTTTTAAAATCATACAAACATCCTCAAACAAGATACACACGCAAACATGCATACAGTTATACAAACATACACACACACACAAACACAGACGCACATTTATATTTACCATAAGAAATTAATTTCATCAATCAGCTCGAGACTGTTCCAATCTATAAATAAACATAATTAATATTTGTTTATTAATATAACGAGATAATTACTAATTAAATTATGAATCATTAATTATTTAATTATAATCTAAAAAATATAGTTAACCGCATCATAATTACATTCTGTAATTCAACCCTGTAAACATAGATTTCAACTAAATTTTCTTTCAGCTTTTGTTTAAATTGCATGTTTGCACTAAAAAACACACATACACATACAGACATACACATACAGACACACACATACACATAAAAACACACACATACAAACACACACGCACACAAGTAAGCATACATTCGATAAATACTCAAACTATAAAAAACTTAAAAAAAATTGTTTCCATGTTTATAGCTGGAGTATTAATTACAATAATCAATTGTTACGAATACTGCTACTACTACTGCTACTGCTACTACTACTACTATTACTACTACTACTGAAACAATACTATCAAAGCGACATAGTAAGATATATACAGCCTTAACTAAAATA